GTGGCCAGCTTAGACTAACTGTTGTAGATTTCATTCACTGGTGCCATGTTTTCATTTGACCACCGCCAGCTCTTTTCCAGCCTGATCCTATATCAGCTAGCATTGCCCGTCGAGGAAGGCAATGACTAGGCATACGTAACACATGTCCTAACCATCTCAGTCGATGTAATTTCACAGCCTCGTCGACTGATTTCCCCTCCTTCCCTAGCACTCGACCGAAGCCTACCCTCAATATTGCTCACCTTATTATACCACTTCACGTGGGCGATAGAACGCAGACACCTATGATCTCAATGGCCAGGTCTCACAGTCATAAAGGAGGACGGAGCGGACTGCTGAGCAGTGTTCCTTCAGGCTTTGATTTCTTGGAAACATATTATTCAGCCTGTTTACACGAATATGTGATGGCATTTTCAGTGTCTGCCTTGACTTAAATGGTCTGTACACACAGGAATCTAGGATGAATGAAGAGACTCAACGTGTGCTCACCTAATAGGTTAAAAAACCATAAGTACTTTTTGACGACTAACAATACCATCTCATTGCTCAATTGAAAGTAGGCACGATTAAGTTTGCAACAGGAATCTACGAGTTTAGAAATGAAAACTTCGTAGGTAAGTCACACACACATACACACACAAAATATACTGATAGTGTACATAAACATGTAGTTCATGTGACTGACTGACTGGTTGCAACATTGAACTTTGCACCAATGTGCAGCAGTTCAAGTCGCCACGCTTCACTGAACACACACAAAGCAAGAGAAGAAAGTAAAAGGAAATGAAAAATAGAGACAGTAAACAGATATACGAGGCAAAACGAATAGTAATATCAAAGAACCGTTTAGTTTCATTGGAAATTATAAGTCACAAGGAGTGGATGCATCTGCGCTAGCCATTGAGAACGATGAGTTTTAGCCATGTCACCGATTGCCTCCAGTCTTCATTGGTGTTTACCGTCCCGAGGAACCCAACCAGTCAGTCAGGAAGTCCACACCTCCCTCCATACGTGACTGGCTGGCTGGCTTAAACTAACTGTTGTGGATTTACTTCAGTGACTGATGAAGCCATGTTTTGGTTTGACCACCACTGGCTCTTTTTCAACCTGATCCATCCTATATCAGCTAACATTGCTCGTTGTTGAGGAAGGCTATGGCTAGTCCTGCATGCGTAACACATGTCCTAACCATCTCAATCGATGTAACTTCACAGCTTCATTTGTTGATTTCCACTCCTTATCTAGCACTCGACGCCTTACCTAAATATTGCTCACCCTATTATTGCACTTCACATGAGAGATAGAACGCAGGCACCTATGATCAAAGGCAGCTAGTTGGCATTTTCATGTCTTTCACTCTCAATAGTCAGGTCTCACAGACAAAACGGAGGACGGAGCAGACTGCTGAGCAGTACGCCAGAAACGGCGTAAACTGGAATATGCGAAGCGAGCCTTCTGTATCTTTCTGAGATTTCGTCAGGGGTCAACCCACTGGCGTTGGGGCTGATGCAACTTCCCAAATAAGTCAAGCGGTTAACGTGCCCTATCACTTCACTGCCTATTTCTAAGCTATGAATCAGTGTAGTCCAGTCCTGTAGCATTATCTTACATTTGGCGGGAGTGAATTGCATGCCAAACATTCGCAGATTGCAGCTCAAGGCTTCTAAATCAGATTGAAAGTCAAGGGGTGTGTGGGATGTAGATCCCTAAGACAAGAGCGAATTCGAACGTTCGGCGCTTACAACCAGACTGGTGGACATCCAGACTGGTCCGCCAAGGAGAAGTGAAAAACCCTGATTCCAAACCTCAAGTATACATGAGGTCCAGAATTTGGACGGATCGAATGCTGTATCAACCTGGGAACTCACATCCTAACGGCACTTCCATTGACTTGTGGATAAGACTTCAAGTCAAATACTCAGGAGGGCTCTTTAAGACAACCATGATATGTGATGCATCTGTTGATGCCTATAATGTAACAAGCTTGCGTTTCAATAAAAAAATATATCTACCTAGAACTAGACAACTATTAAGATCTCTTCTGATTTCAGTTCAGCAATAGTTAAGCTTGAACAAGATCTCAAAACGTATTACCTACGGAATTTTAAAGTAATATAAACAACGCCAAGATATAAGATCACAAGGTACACATGACAAAATGGTATCAGGTAGAGAACGGAACTAAACAGATATATCGTGACCCTTCTTCAGAATCATTCACATACACAGACTGTACATTAGATCAAGTAAATAAACACCATATCAGTACTACAAATGTCTTCAACTACATACTACTGATTGATTGAAATGAGTAGGTTATAAGCTTGCTAACTAGATCAAAGTGATCTAAACACCGGATGACCGATTCGGGGCCGAGGTTATCAGCGATGTATCGACCAAAGGGCGTGTGTACTGCTCATCAGTCCGCTCCGTCCTCCTTTATGGCTGTGAGACCTGGCCACTGAGAGCGGAAAACATGAAAAGACTAGCTGTCTTTGATCATAGGTGTCTGCGTTTTATCTCCCGTGTGAAGTGGTATAATAAGGTGAGCAATATTAAGGTTAGGCTTCGGTCGAGTTCTAGGTAAGGAGGGGAGATAATTCGACAAGGTTGTGAAGCTACATCGACTGAGATGGTTGGGACATGTGTTACGTATGCCTAGTCACCGCCTTCCTCGACTGACGGGCAATGTTAGCTGACATAGGATCAGGCTGGAAAAGAGCTAGCGGCGGTCAAACTAAAAAATGTCACCAGTCAATGAAATCCACAACGGTTAGTTTAAGCCAGTCACGTAGGAATGTGTAGACTTCGTGACTGGTTGGGGTCCTCGGGACGGTAAAAACCAATGGTTGTAAACAATTGGTGATATGGCTCAAACTCATCGTTCTCAATGGCTAGCGCAGATGCATCCACTCCTTGTAACTTATGATTTCCAATGAAACTGTTTTGTTCTTCGTCATTACTATTCCTTTTGTCTCATATCCCTGTCTACTGTCTCTATTTAGCATTTCTCCTACTTTCTTCTCTTGATTTGTGTGCTACAAGGAAGGAGTGTGGCGACTTGAACTAGTGCACATATGTGCAGAGTTCTATGTCGAAAACCGACCGACCGCGATGTAACCGATTTGACTTAGCACAGAGAGCCGAGTCAGTTCAAACTGCCCGATTTCTCGGTCAGCTACTTGGTAGAACTGCTGAAACTTTACTTCATTTAGTATTTTATTACATGAATGCTACTTTTAGTCACACTCGGATATTATCCCTTGAGAATCATCCAATTAATTGTGACAGGATATTTCATCCCATTTCGTCGAATCATAATCCATCTTAGGGAGAAGGCAAACGTAGAACTCATTGAAAAGAAAATAGTAGATAAATGAATGCAGTGCACATGTGATGGTAAGCTGAGGCTCAGTATTCCACTCGGAACTACAAGGACAAATAATAATTAACGTATGTTCCATATATCAGAGACTCTAATAGTCTTAAAGTTACTTCAGAAAGACGAAAAAACTAAATTCAAAAGAGGGAATATACAGTCTAAGAAATCGATGAAATAAACTAACATTTATAACTCTACACAATAAGTTTACTTTGTCATAATGGGAATATTCATTTTTTTAAAATACCTACACAGAAGCATGTACCAGACAAATTCTAACAGCTAACATGCTAAAACCAGACAGGCACTCTACTCAAACTCACGTAGCTATGTAAGGGCTTATGGGGAATTGTCATCTGATTTGATAACAACCAGTGGTGTCCGTCAAGGATGTCCACTTTCCCCTTTTCTGTTTAACTTCATCATAGATATGCTAATGGAGGTATCCTTAACTGAACTTAACGACTTCGGAATCGACTTGTTACCAGGGAATAGTCTTGTGGACTTAGAATATGCAGATGACATAGTCCTGTTAGGGGAGGATGCTGACAAAATGCAGAGTCTTCTGAACACCTTGAGCAGCAATCTTCGTACGTTTGGCATGCGATTCGCCCCTGTAAAATGTAAGATGCTGCTACAGGACCGACTGGACTACGTCAGCTCCTAGCTTAGTGATAGTGATAGGGAGTGAAGTGATAGAACATGTTGACCACTTCACCTATTTGGGAAGTTGTATCAGCACCAACGGATTGATTGATTGGTGACGAAATCTCAGCACGGATCCAAAAAGCTCGGGCTGCTTTCGCTAACTTACACCATCTCTGGCGTAGGCGTGACATACGACTATCAACCAAGGGACGTGTATACTGCTCAGAAGTTCGCTCTATCCTTCTCTATGGCTCTGAAACATGGCCAATACGAGTTGAAGACATGAAAAGGTTGACTGTTTTTGATCATAGATGTCTACGATCTCTTTCTCACGTTAGGTGGTATAAGGTATAAGGTAAGTAATGTTGACGTTAGGCGTAGAGTGTTGGTTGGGCAAAGAGGGAAAATCAATCGACGAGACTATAAAGTTACATAGATTGAGATGGCTAGGTGACGTGCTGCGCATGCCTAACCATCGCCTCCCTGCCAAGCTGGTTGGAAAAGAGTAAGTGGTGGCCAAACAAAAACATGGCCTCATCAATCCATGAAATCTTTGACAGTTAAACTGAGTCAGGTAGGAAGGGAGATGCAGACTTCCGGGTTGGGGCCCGCCCTCAGGACTCTAAGAATCAATGGCTGGAGACAATACGTGACGTGACATGGCTGAAAATCGTTGTCAATGGCTAGTGCAGAGGTATTCAGTCTCTGTAATCTTTCATATTCCTTTCTACCATTACTCATTCTGTTTCACTCTTATACTTGTCAAAACTCTATTGATTCTCTTCAGTCATTTTCATGTCTACCTTTGTGTGGTATTTGGAACGTGGCAACTCGAAGTGCTGCACTTCGGTGCCAAGTTCTATGTTGAATCCAGACAGACAGACAGACAAAAACAGACTTGCTCTCTATTTCTTTCTCAGGCTTAAACAAAAGCAAAAACAAAAAAATAATAACTGTTATGCACACTTACCAGTATGGTGTACCAATAAATGAATTCCGACGTTGAATTGTTTGAGTTATTTGTGCTGCAACACCGAAATCAGCTGTATGTATATATATTGAAACAAAAAACAAAACATGAATGAATGATAGATCAGATAAATGAAACGATGAAAGTGAGTCGATGGTTCAGTGGTAGAGTGCCGGCCGTGCCGACCATGTACTCGGCCCGGGGTTCGAGTCCCGGACAGTGCACACCTTTACCCTCTTCCTTAGCCGGTTATAATCCTGACAAAGAGAGGAGGTTGGGCGTGAGGTTGGCCAACCCACCCCGTAGAAAAACACCACTGTTTCTGAAACTCCAAAGCTAAAGCTTGAAGCCCTATGTTGCACTGGGAACGTAAGGGAATAAAAAACGATGAAAATTATGGACAGAAATTTGCTAATGCAAAAAAAATACTCTGTTACCCGAAACAGATTATAGGGAGGTGTATAGGCCACACCTTATGTACGAGGGCTGACGATACCAACTAATTGTCTAAGCTGAAGTAGAAGGGAGGGAGATACAAACCAGAGACTAACCGGTTGAGAGCAGAGTACACACATCGCCAATAAGGCATTCACACCATTTACTAATTTTAAATGAAACGTTTCTAACAGGTAATAACTAAGAGAAAGAGACATGAATCAATTGTTTATTTCTAACTGAAGTCTGAAGATTAGATTTGAGACGTGAACAGTGGATGGGGGACTAAGTGATTCAATACCGCGTAGTACACTGTAACTTGAAGTGTTTCAAAAACTGATGGGGTTTTTGTTTTGCTTCTTGAGATTCTAAAAAGCTTTGAAGTGTTCACCATTTTCATATTACTTGTGATATTTGAATGGATATCGTTCAATTCTGAAGAGAGAAACTTTATCACTACACTATTTACATTACAAGTGACTACATACAACATTATTGTGTACAAAATTGGTCACTAATCGGTGACCTTTGATCATAGGTGTCTGCGTTCTATCTCCCGTGTGAAGTGGTATAATAAGGTGAGCAATATTGAGGTTAGGCGTCGAGTGCTAGGTAAAGTTGGGGAAATCAATCAACAAGCCCGTGAAATTACATCGACTGAGATGGTTAGGACATGTGTTACGTATGCATGACTAGCCATCGTCTTCCTCGACCGACAGGCAATGTTAGCTGATATAGGGTCAGGCTGGAAAAGAGCTAGCGGCGGTCAAACCAAAACATAACACCAGTCAATGAAATCCACAACAGTTAGTTTAAGCCAGCCAGTCACGTAGGAAGGTGTAGACTTCCTGACTGGTTGGGGTCCTCGGGACGGTAAAAACCAATGGTTGGAAACAATTGGTGATATGGCTCAAACTCATCGTTCTCAATGGCTAGCGCAGATGCATCCACTCCTTGTGACTTATGATTTCCAATGAAACTTTTGTTTTTTGTTATTACTATTCCTTTGTCTCACACCTCTGTTTACTGTCTCTAATATGCATTTCTCCTACTTTCTTCTCTTGCTTTGTGTGCTACAAGGAGGGAGTGTGGCGAATTGAACTGCTGCACATATGTGCAAAGTTCTATGTCGAAAACCGACCGACCATTCAGAAACCCTTAAACAATTCCATTCATGAAATCTCTCTTTCACAACCTATCATAACTCCTCAACAGTTAACATAATTCACTTTAAATGCAATTAACAAGATTAACATAGCAGTAATAACACTAATAAATGTCAATAGACACAGAGCACAATGGAAAATGAAATAGATACATGAGCGGTATTACTCATTTATAGACAAGAGATGTACACATTTGTGCCAAAATCGATAATTCTGAACACCATCTCGTACACAGTTTCAGAGAATATACTAGAGAATTATTGATTGGTTACGATGAGGCGTTGTATACCACTCAACCTCAACCAGAGTAGTGCTTACTAAACAGACCAAAAAGGTGATTTGAACACCAGACGGCCACTTTGCTCGTTTGGCACCAAGCATTATCATCAGCGGTGTACCCAGTTTGACTCAGCAGGCTTAGAGAGACGAACCGGCTCAACCACACCACACCACCACCACCACAAATAATCAATTAGTAGTAAATAGTTTTAATTAACATTTATGACATCAAGCAGATCACATACTGTGATCTGAATAATTTCAATTTGCAAAGGAAACTGTGGTGAGATTTCACCCTCAAGGGTGTAAATTACAAAGTCAGGAATTAGGTGAACTAATATCACATTTTATCATTTTAACAAAAATAAAACATCTACGAGCAGAAGTGAGATTGACAATGAGACATCTCTGTCAAGTAAGGCTACTCAACTTCGGTAGAGGCAGAAAAAATTCAATCAGTAACTGATTGATTGACTAACTTAACAACACAGATCTCTGCACAAAAGTGTATCAGTTCAAATAGCCAGATTTCGGCAAATCAAACAAAAGTGAAATGAAGAAATATAAGGAAACTTTAATGAATAAAGATCTACAGAGAAGAAGAATCAGCTAAAGATTCATGATAATGCTGAAGATCTAGAAGATGGTGAGAAGTGAGTACATCTGCGCCATTTAGATAACTTCAATGAATGTCGAAAAGAGTCTCCAACAATTGATTCTTAGAATAGTGAGAATCCGTCCAGTAGTCTACAAGTCCCCACTTGGCTCAGAGGAAGTCAAAGACAAAGAAATATTTCCACCCACATGTAATTCTTTTCACACTACATTGTTTGACAAGGAAGGCAGTAACTTAGCATGTGTAATTATGTCAATGCTTACCCAAACTTACGTCTAACCTCATTATTACCTATAAGGTTATTCCATCTAAAGTGAAGTGGTCAATACATTCAAATATTACACTTCCTATCCTCAAGATAAGAGTCAATTTTGATAAACCATGTGGTATTACTTTACAGTTGACAAAAGAAAAAAGTACTCCATATATGTGCTGATTTTTGTATACAATGTTTAAAAAACTATGTTATCATCAACACCAAAGAGAAGTATATTAATTGTGTGCTCTAAGTAAACGAGGTCTTCCTGTATTAGCAATTTTCGATTCCTGGAAGTTAATCAGAGTAACAAATATTAGGATATCCATAGGAAAATTGTATATTGCTTAGAATTCAAGTGTTTAATCTAATTAGCCACAACATCATATTTGGTAAGATGGAAGATATTGGCTTTTCAGAAGCAAAAAGTTGAAATCAACGTACGTTTGCGTGGGCAACAAAGTAGTATCTTTCGTCGCTACACATTGTTATACCATTGTAGAGACCTTTGTGCTACATGTCACTACAGTTAAGCAATCCACAAAACTTAAAAATAGGGCCATTTATGTATGTTAAGCGAAAAAATATCTCGAAGTAAAAATTATTCAGAAACCCTTAGTACTTGAATAAACTTTTACCACTTAGACAAATTAGCTAAGTACGATGGACATAGGGACTCACCGATTTTGACGTCACCATCATTCGTTAGTAATATATTTGCACCCTGTTTGAAAAAAAAATCCAAGGAAAAACAAATGACAAAGTTGTATACAAACAAAATATCAATGTTGAAATGTACTTTCTAGAGATGAAGAAAAATTACACAATCATTGGTTTGAAGCGGTCAACAGAAAATTAGTTCATGAGTAGAAACTACGACAAAACGTCGGGAGTTCAGTGGTAGAATGCTCTCCGACCATGCATGTAGTCTGAGTTTAGATTCCCTTCACCTCGCTTAGCCCGTAGTAAACAAGTTTGGTCAATAGGGAAGGTTGGGCGTGAGACTAAAGACCTCTCTTTATAATGAAAACCCTATCGTTATTGAAACTTCAAAGTCCTTGCTTGAAGCTTTATTTCCTAGTGGGAACGCAAAAAAAACATAAGAAAGAACCACGACAAAGAAGACTGTGAGATTTAACTTGTGTATTATACGTATAACTTTACTTCAGTAACACAGAATTTGTGCAGAAAACCACCACAAGAGCATTGCAACAACCATTCAGAGAGACAAAACTGAAAAGTGTGTGATACAATTCGTTGAATTATGAAAAAGTGTTCCTACAACTCTCTCAGTGGATTCCTAAATCACATTCGCCACATTACAAACAAAAAAAAAACCTCTTTATGTTGTAGGAAAACATGTGTATCTAAATCTACTCGGACTTAAGTACTGGAGAACATTACAAGAATGTGGGATAATCTATCTCCCAGCATCCAGTTTACTTCGCAAGCAGAATCGGACTTCAGTGAACTACCATTTCTAGACCGCCTGGCTAGTTAAGAAGAGGGAAAACGAATATTTTAATATAACAGTATTCAGGAAGAAAACCTACTCCAACAAATATTTAGACTTTGGATCATCACACCCCATCAGCGCAAAGGTATCAATGGTTCCAAGTCTTCTTAGACGAGCACACTTTGATGTTAACAGATGAGAAAGAAAAAGAAGAAATATCAAACGTTACTGAGACTCTCAAGCAAAATAACTACCCAAAGAACTTCATTAAAAAAATCAACACTGACATTCAATATGGTCAAAAACGCATCTCGAAGAAATAGGCCTCAACAGTTGTCATTCCATATAGATCAGAAACGTCAGACAATATCAGAAGAGTACTCAACAAGCACATCAGAGTTTTCTTCAAAATATCAGATACACTACAAAGCAACCTTGTCCACATAAAAGAATAAATCCCTAAGGATACTCAATCGAATTGTGTCTAACAAATAAAATGCTTGCAATGTGATGCGATATACATCGGACAAACATCGCGAAAAAGAAATCAAAATCAGAATAAATGAACACCATAGAGCATCTGTTCGACCACCGAGAAATCCGGTTCAACTAGAAAAACTTGAAAAATCATCAGCCACCAGTCTATACGCTATAGAATAAAGCCACAAAATTGATTTTGACAATATTGAAACCATCACCCAGAAAAAGCATTTCAGAAATCACAGAGAACGTGTAATATCATCAGAAGCACTTCGTATCAAATGGAATCCAAATTGTCTGAGCTGAATAGGAATGATGGAGTAAAACAGAATCAGACCTGGTTACACCACCTCCCTCCCCCATGAAGTGGCAAAATCAACAGGAATATGATAAGCAATTTCACTGTTAACAAATGCTGCTTTTATAATTTCATATACCTATCAAATCCAACAATCTACACCTGGTTTTGTTATCTTTACTAATCGGTCAACTCGACAACGTAAAAATTACCCCCTGCTGGTGAATGATGATAAGGTTTTTATATATAAGTTGAGATTTTGTAAATTCTGGTTTAATATTACTACTTTGATAAAGCTATTAGCATTAAATAGCGAAACGTTAGTAAAAACAATATTGTTTTGTTTTCCATTAATTGGGAAATGCAAAATCTTCCATAACAATGAATACCATGTATCCAGTGTCCGAATTTTTCGAACTGTTAAAAGTGAACGCGATTTGGACATTAATAAGAATGTGGAACACTAAATTAATGATTACAAATAAGTTGCAGACTATGAAAGGCAACACTGAGGCTGTAACAGCAGAACACGGTAGTATTTGGTAGCAGCAATGTTTAGGTACAAACGATGTACAGTTATAGAAAAATACAGAAACCTAATACGTTAATCCCCACTTATTCATAATCTACGTTACGGGTTTCTTTTCATGCTTTTTATATTGATGCACAACTCAATCCGTCGCTCTGTTTCTTAAGACTTTTGCAGTATATCACTTACAAAATCCTGCCAATAGCCTACGCTACACTACAGCCTTCATTGCCAATAATCTAATTCACTCTATTACAACTCGACACAACTAATGGCAGATTGAAATTAAAAACATTGTGAGAAACAAATCTGCAGAGCCAACATCAATTGACATCACTAACCTTAATATCACGGTGTATTTTTCCAGCTTTGTGCATATATTCTATTCCACGCAAGGTTTCACGGGATACAAAAGCAATACAATTTTCTTCGATTGGCCGCTGAATATCTACATAAATGTTTGATCAAATATATGCCGAAAATCTCACGTGTGTAAATATCCTGCATCGAGAAACCGCCACAAAACTCCATACATATCCAAAGTTTATTATTTCTATACCATAAGAATACTTAACACAATTTACCTAAAATAACTCCCAAAGAATTGTACAATGTTACAATGTCGACACTCTCGCAAGGTCTGTATTTCCTGAAGTATGGCACGTACATCATCCTTTGCATCAACTTTAATTATCTTCACCGCAGCAAATTCCTTTGTTCGTAGTCGAATTGCCTAGGAATAAAGTGACTTCATTTTAATGTGATACCTTGTAAACTTCGCCATAAGTCCCAGTTCCAATGCTTTGAATAAGCTTATATTCTTCTTTTGGGTCTCTGTTGTTGACGAACTCTCTTATGTATCCCAGCTTCTGCTCACTAAGTTCTGATCTAACTGCCATTTTTATAAAACTCCATCACTGGCCTATGCTCCGCTGATTATCAAACACACCGCTTTCATAATATCGAATAATCCAATATCCAATTTCTTTGTCACATTTCAGTATTTAGTCATCTGTTATTTGATGCTCACCTCTCGATGTTATAGAACAGTTCTGGGTCATTTACTGATTCCACTACAGAAGGTTTTTTTCTTCCGACTGATGTATCTATTATTCCAATTCTCCTTGAATTCGACGTGCTTTTCCTCTCCAACTCAGAATACCTGTTTTGTGAAATATCCGTTTGGGAAGTCTGATATTCCTTACCGGTTAATTAAATTTCACCATTACTTTCGTATCATATTTCTGTGTGTTAAGTGCAGCTGTCTCGAACAACTGTCAAAGCTTCAGGTGCTACACCAGTAGCAGCATCTTCACTCGTTCAGATAAAAAACACCCGTCGGTCTTCCACGTGATTGCTGTGAGGCCGAGTAACCAAAGAGCAATAGGCAGGGTCGAAAACCTTTCATTTTCTCCTCTATTACCCTCGCTACAAACACCACAGGGACGACTGCACCTAAGCACCTGACCACATAGCAGAGAGCTCAAGAGGCTTAATATGTTATATCCTGCTGTCAACAATGGCCCAATAATCACACTCATCATTTTCCGGGACTTCTCTGTCATTGGTAAGGGACATATCATGGATCAATATTTATTTACGTCGTATGTCAGTAAATTTCCTCAGAGTGATTATTTCTTGCTGAAATCGGAGCGGATCTTTGTAACATCACACAGACCGCCACATTTTCCAGTAGTTGGCATGTATAATGAGTGCAGTGCATGAGCTCTCCGTTAGGTCTCTGGTGAAGTTTAGAAATAACTATAGCTTTAGAATAGTGCCGTTTAATGTCCAATTAGAGGATATTCTGCGTTTATAAAATTTGAAACTTTGCACAAACTCTGTACCTTTTGGAAATTCCAAGCAAAATATATGAATGTACTGTCAATCTTCATTTCGCAGGCCATCCAGGAAATAATATAATATCGAAAGTTCTGCATTGGTTTGTGAACGAAACATTTATGAGAATATTCTTGTCCCAGTAGTCTATTCTGTCGTTCCTAGATTCTATCAGTTTAGAAGCATAGGAGCAGTCTTTCACGAAACCGTACTGTTTCTCACTATGAATTCTCACGCGATATGATCGATTAACAAACTTTCCATCAACTTCGGTATTGTTAGTTTTATTTCTTACTGACCTACAGCACTTAGGAATTTATTATCTACTGCTTCACAATACGAGTTAGAGCAATATGCTCTCAGTATTTCGGTAGCTGCTTTCTGTCTAAAGAAGTTTGGAGGCGTCTTGGGTTGCAACACATCGCTTGAGAATGGAGAACCTTACGTCCCCACATCAAAATAATTTCTGGGTAGGGTTTCATCAGCTTCTCTTGAACCACACTTAGATTCATTTGTAACTGGGTGATCCCTAGTGTCTGAGGGGATAACCGAGCCCTCATTTTGGTATATGACTTTCCGTTTCAACAGACTGAGCTGTTTGTAAAATGAGTTATCACAATCTTCAAATGTACGTAGACTGCTAAATGTTTCACCAACATAACCTGAAATAACCTCACGAATGGGTACAGATACGCTGTAATTTTAAAGTGTATATGTGCCTGCCGTTCTCTTCTATGTGTTCAAAATTCTGCACCGGGAAGCTTTCTTATGACTTGGTATGTTCAATGATCTGACCGCTAACTGTGGGGCCTTCATATGTGCTAGGTTCTGGTTCTAGTAGTATGAAAAGGCCGTGTAAACAGCGTGATCAGTTAGGCTCATATATATCCACTTATCAGAGTCAGAACGTCACATAGTTAACTAGCTTGCTGGCTTTCTAGTCGGTCCCAAGCCTGGTCTCGGGTCTAGCAGTCACATACCAATAAACCTATCAAACCGCTAGAGAAAATTCAATGCACAGAAAATATATTAAAAATACAAGAACTTCAAATAGCAACAATTTTCTTCTTCGCTCGATTCGAAGAGACGAAATGACGCAATGGACTTGTGAAGGCCTTCGGGCCGCCAGTCAACCGATGTGTCTTCTCTCGATGAAAGCAAGAGTAAGAATAGGTACGTGAAATGTCCATGCAGTGTATGAGACTAGGAAGTTTTCCCAGGTGTCAAATGAGATGCGAAGATGTGACTGAAAAGTACTGGGCATTTACGAACGCAGATGGAATGGATGCGGATTGATAACACTGTCTACGGGAGAGTCAATAATATACTCTGATCACCCAAACGACAACCACAAACACACTGAGGCAGTGAGTGGCTATCAAGATGCCACCGAAGGCAGCCAGAGCCCTAATGCAGTAGCAAACAATATCATCCAGGATCATGTCGGCAAGATTCAACTCAAAAGGTAGGAAGGGAGGTTACCATTATCCAATGCTACGCACAGTGCTACAAACGACGCGGAACAAGAAAAAAAGGGGATTTTTACAGGCTACTTCAAACGGTCGGTCGGTTCGGTCGGTTTTCAACATAGAACTTTGCACATATGTGGGCCAGTTCAAGTCGCCACACTCCTTCCTTGTAGCACACAAAGCAAGAGAAGAAAGTAGGAGAAATGCATATTAGAGACAGTAAACAGAGGTGTGAGACCAAGGAATAGTAATAAAGAAGAACAAAACAGTTTCATTGGAAATCCTAAGTCACAAGGAGTGGATGCATCTGCGCCACTGAAAACGATTTTGAGCCATGTCAAAATCGTTCTCAGTGGAAACATCCATCTCAGGGCAACATCCTAAATGGTGACATCAAAATCTTTATGGGAAATGTGAATGCCAAAAAGGGTGCAGATAATACAGGAAGCTAATCGAAGAGAGGATGATAGTGAAAGAGAGGACGACCTAATGCGAAGATGGACAAGAGAAGGAGAAGCTGAGTTCAATGTACACTGCGCTGAACAAAGAAGTGAAGAAGAGTGCTAGGATAGACAAACGATATACTGGCCGGCAACGGAAGCAGAACAGGCAATCCAAAGCCGAAGGAGACATCAGGACACTGTATCAGATAACCAAGTCTCTATCCGAAAAGAGATCAACCTAGATGACGAAACCAATAGAAGATGCTCAAGGGAACCTGATCGCCAAGGAGGAGAAACAAATCAAACAATGGACTGATCCTTTCAAAGGACTCTCGAATCGACCACCACCTGCAACTCGCTCAGAAATATCACCAACAGCACACACAGAAATGCCTGTCAGTGGACACCAATCCTCCAACGAAAGAAGAAATCCTGAATGTGATCAAGTCACTGAAACACACCCAGGAAGGCAGAGGAATCAGACGGCATCCTTCCAGAAGCACTGAAGACGGCCGCAGAGATTGCGGCAGGTGTTCTCACTTCACTACTGCAAAAAGTTTGGAAAGATGGGAAGCTGCCTACTGACTGGAGGAAGGGCTACCTCGTCAAACTGACAAAGAAGGGCGACTTAGGCCTGTGCAAGAACTCGGGAGCGTAGAATGATGCTCTTGTCCACGACAAGTGAAATAATAAGTCGCATCATCCTGGCGAAAGTAAAGGACGCACTAGATACAGAACTCCGCTTGCTCTATTGGAACAAGCTGGATTCAGGAAGTGCATATCATGTGCTGATCAAATTGCAGCTCTGCGCATCGTCATCGAACAAGGCACAGAATAGCACTCAAACCTCTCCCTACCTCAACTAAATGGACTTCGAGAAGGCCTTCGACAGCATTGACTGAGACTTAATTTGAAAACTACTTCAGCACTACGGTGTGCAGTCCAAGTTCTTGCCAACCTCATTCAACAGCTCGCTATATGACGATGCCATGTGTCAGGTAATCCACAACAGAAAATCCAGCGAGGCGTTCGAATTGCGTACAGGAGTAAGACAAGGCTGGCTGCCTATTATCACCGTTAATATGCTTAACTGTGGTGGAGTGGATTATGCATCAGACTGTTAGGGACGAGGAGTCAGGAATACGCTGGACGACCAATGAGAAGACTCTAGAAGATCTGGATTTTGCGAATGATATATATCTAATGTCACACAAACTCGAAGACTTGCAAGCAGGCGTAACCAACAAACTGGCTGAAGAAGCAGCGAAGACAGGACTTCAGGTAAACATAGAGAAGACGGAGGTAATGAAGATAACCAACGAACCGCAACAAAAACAACAACCAGCACCAATCACCATAAACGGGAGGGATTTAACCGAGTTCACTTCCAGCACTGATCTAGGCAACCAGCATCGTTTCAAATACAGGCTAACAGAACGGATAAAGATGTCAAATCGAGCCAGCCAGAATCGGAAAAGCAAGATACGCCTTCACCAACCTGAAACCAGTATGGAAATCTTCGCACTCAGCATAGGGAACAAGATTCACATTTTCAACACCAGTGTGAAGTCGGATCTTCTATACGGGTCAGAAACCTGACCAGCATGTCGCGAAAAGGATTTCCAACAGGTTGCAGACTTTCATCAACAGCTTCCTTCGCTGGCTCCATACTGAAGATCAGACGGCTGGCCGGAAAGAATAAGCAAAAGGAAACTATAGAAACAAGCCAACAGGAGGGATCTGGTCGCTCAACAAATATGTAGGAGGAAGTGGGGATGGATTGGGCATACATTGGTGAGACCATCGAATGACATCGCACGTGACGCAGGCCATAGATCGAGTGGGGTTCAAGTAAGAAGCAGCGAGTGTGTCATCCTAGGGCGACATGCAGGGGATCGTATGACGAAGAGACGAGAGAGTTTGGTCAATCGTGGACCTAGCTGAAGAGGACGGTAGAAAACATAACAAAGTGGAGATGTGCTGTTGAAACCCCATATTCCACTCAAAACGCAAGGAAATAATTATCAGAAACACGGTGAAAAATCCCTGGTGGCTTTCTTATAATAGCCATCACCTACCCTGAATATTCATCTAAAAATCATCGCTGTTGTCAGAAGATACCCCTTGAGAACTCAGAACATTAAGTGGGTAGCACAGTGGTTAGGACTCCCGCCGACCATGCACATGGTCCGGGGTTCGATTACC